CGGCTGGCCTCAAATTCAAAGAGATCCACCTGCTTCTGCCTCCTGGGTACTGGGATTAAAGATGCGTGCCACCACTGCCTGGCACCTACCAGCCCATGTTATGGAGGCATTTTCTTGACTAAGCTTTCTTCTTCCCAGATGATTATAACTTTCTTCATGTCAACATAAAAACTATTTAACACTGTTTGGAAGAGACAGCTGAATGGTTAAGAGAACTTACTGCTCTTGAAAAGTATCTGCCTTCAGTCTACTCGTGGTTCTAGGAGGAGAGGCTCTTGGATTAGCAGGGCGTGCCTGCTAGAGTTGGTGTCTGGGACAAATCAACAAGTCAGGTGAGGAAAGGTAGAATGGGGAAAATCTGTGGGATCTGCAGGAGATGGGAACACAGGGGCCACAAAAGGCTGCCATAGCTGTTCTTCTGCAGAGCTGGAGATGAGATGCGGGATTTGGTCTGGGGAGAGAGAGAGAGAGAGAGAGAGAGAGAGAGAGAGAGAGAGAGAGAGAGAGAGAGAGAGAGAGAGAGAGAGAGAAACAAGAGAGAGAGAAACAAGAGAGAGACAAACAAGAGAGAGAGGAACAAGAGAGAGAGAAACAAGAGAGAGAGAAACAAGAGAGAGAGAAACAAGAGAGAGTGGGACTGAGAGAGTGAGCCAGAGAGAGAGAGAAAGAGAAAGACAGAGCAAGCGAGCAAGGGAGGAGGTCTCTAGGCATCTTCCTAATTTTCTGTCAGGCAGGGCCTTCATTTTGGCTAATGTTTGTCAAGTTCAGTCTTTTACAGTTTCCCACCATATTCAATATATCCCAGGTACACTCCCTCCTACCAACACTTGTCAATTCATCTCTTCCTTAATTGTCCCTTTACAAGGTTTATGTTTTTCTTTATATATTTTTGTGTGTGCCCCATTTGGTTTAATTATGATCATTTTTATGATTCTTGGATTTGGACTATAGCTTGGAGGTTTGTGTAATCATCAATTGTTACACAAGTGAAATAATTAACTTTTTTCTTTGAATTTATTTGTAGGAGATAAGTTTATTTATTACAAATAACAAAACCTTAGAGACAGCTATTGGAGTTCAACCTGCAGATCAGAAAAGCAAAGTAGCCAAGACACTAGAGAGCGCTTACCTCTTTGAAATCTTCAGACTGAAAGAGAATGAGTTCCTCTCTAGTGCTGGGATTAAAAGCATGTACCACTACCACCCAGCCTCTATGGATAACTAGTGTAGCTGCAGGGATTCAAGGTTTGTGCAAGCCTGTATGGCTGGCTAGTGTGAGTGCTTTGTATTGATCTTCAGGCAAGTTTTATTTATTAAAACACAAATAATATACCACTAAAGAAGGATAAGGTGTTTTTGTACAGTCCATACTTTTGCAGAACCAACCTGTGAGCTCATCCTTAATTGTAAGAGTTCCTTATTTCAATGCATGAGTTGCCTGGAAGCAGGAAATTTGCAGTCTTAATCTTATAATTGTTTTGCCTTCTATTCCATTATATTCCTTTGATGTTGGGATGGATGACTTAAAAAGCCTTGTTTGTGGATGGCAAATAAAACATCACATAGTCTTAGGATCTTCTACAGTCCAATATCTTGGCCTTTTATCACAGTTCTCTTTGAAATGAGGCCTCTTTGGGTAAGGATGGGAGTGTTTGTCTAAACACAAACATTTGGAAGGTTGTTTGACATTAAATAGATTAAACTAAATGATAGCATCTAGTTCCTCATTTTGTGATACAACCTCCCCACCATGAAATTTTATTTGTGTTCATAGTACCTAGTATGAAATATTCCTTTTATAAATATCTCTTCCCTGAATTTTAGCTATATGATATGTCCATGAATGTATTCCATGTGCATAGAGTAGAAGCACGTTATTGAGGAATACAAAATCCTACACAGTTTTGTGTTTCAAAACTATGTTTTGAAACCATATGCAAGTCAAAATCTGGTGAACCTATATGTGATAAAAATTCAAAGTATCACTGGTTCAATCTCATAGAATAAGCAAGACATATTTTTTAAAAGAAGTGTTATCTTTATATAAATAAGTAATGAAATATATATTATACACCTTTATTAAGCCAGATAGGGATTTCTACACTTGAGGCATACATTGTAAAAAAGAAGACCAACAGCAAAACACCCAGAATAGAAGCAAAAAAAAAGTTGTGCCTGATTATCTTGAAAAGATATCATGAGAAAAAAATGAGTTCCACAATCACTAAGGAAAAAAAAACAAGATATCAGCAGAGATTTGACTCTCCTGAAAATATACTCTATAAATGTTTAGCTCAAAATGTAAAACAGAGAAAGTCTATTGATGACATTATAGTTTCCAGAATTACAAAAGGCTTAATGTAATGGAAATACAGCACTATAAACCAAAGTGTAT